GTGGCTATCAAATGGTACATACATAGACCTATAAGAAGGTTTTTCATTTTTCTGAGCATGAAAATCAAACAGATCTGTTAGGGGGGACAAAATGAAGGCGTAAAAAGCTTGGCGTATAAATGTCACACCCTTTAACTAATACTTTGGTAAAAGTCCACTTTTTGAATTCATTTATAGCTTTCAGTCTTTGGTAGGAGTCTATCAAAATGTCCCATTTTAATTTTCGTAAAATTTGGTTACCTTGCCTTGGAAAAGTTCTCCTAATGCAGGTTTATGGGATTGTTTATAACTTTATCCATCTTAAGAAAAATAATCAAACCCCAAGCAAAATATACTCCCCATCATCATGCTGCCACTACCATAGGTCAGCTATGTATGGTTTTCTTTTGGTAACACAAGGTTATTGTGTTAACAATGTTTTCTATTTATTTTCATGTTCAAATTGGCATTCCTTGCACCATATCATATTTTTCTTAGTGAAGGGTTTTCTTTCTTCGTGTCCAGATACATTAAGAACATAGGAAATCCTTCTGACAACCAGTACTTGTTGAAAATTCCTTAAACATTTTCAGTGCTGCTGTTGACCTCTTGGCAGCATCTGTGATCAGTGTCTTTTTTGTCTTATATATATTTATTGGAAATTGTGTTTAATTACCACTATTGTTCCACATTTCTCCATGTACTGGCTCATTTACTTCCCTCTAAAAAATGCTTATATGAAATACAATAGATTTTTCTTTTGTGCCCTTCTCCTGACTGATACCTTCGTACAATCATTTGATCGCTGGCAATCTCTCTTTAATGTACTGCTTTAACCTAAATGATGCATACATGTAAACGTCCGGAAAATTATTAGCAGGATAGTTTTAACTTATTTTTACTGTTCAGATTCGGTATAAACGATTTTAAGTGTTGCAAAGATTTAAAAGACCAAATCAGATTCAACCTAAACAGGTTTTAAAGTATTATTTTAAGGGTGTCCAAACTATTGTGTCAAGGTTTTCACTTTTAATTAATAAATTTTTTTATGGTTTTACCCCTAACCAACCTGTGCAGTTTCCCCTAAATAGGGAAGAACCTGTCACTTTAGAGATGGGAAAAAGCTATTTCAATAAAAGTGTGTACCCTTTTGATATCTGCTTTACTATTGGAATTAGTCTCAGCTTTAATGTGTTCAAATCTGAATGAATGTTTTGGACATATAAAGGTTCACTGTATTCTAGGTGATGAGAAACACCTCCCATGTTAGTCACATTTCCACTTCAAGCAGTCAGCTGGTAAGCCTCCCTTCTTTTGAAAAATCATGCCAACGTTTGCTTTGTTTGGAAATGAGCTGAGCTTTGTAAATGTGTTGTTTGGATATGTGGTCCAATAGCAGCTGGCTCCCAGTCCCCCTAACCAAAGACGTCAGATGGCTCCAGTCATGTCCAAACCTGTAATGCTGCCACAGTCACAGACTAACCGGCCTGATCCGCACCGACCTGCTGTCCGCTCCGATGGCCTGGTATGAAAATTATTAGGGTCATCTGGTACAGTGTGCGATCAGCTGCAGCCGCTGTCAGTTTCCGCCTCCTTTTTGAGTTTTGGAGGTTTTCCAGCTTATTCCGTGATCATCAAGAAGATGGATGCAGGGATGGTCTTCCACACTCCAGATTTCCAGACAAGCGGCTATTTTAATAAAAACAGGCCACCAATGCTTGCGTTTTTCTAAGAATCCTTAATTAAATCAAATTGTGTTCAGTATTTTGGACAGCCTGCTAAAGAGAACCATTCCTTACTTTTTATTCCCTTACCTTAAAGATTCCATTTAACACCAGAGCCATTAGCATCACCACAGGCTTCTACCTCTGCTGTGAGAGATATGATGACACATAAACAGATGTCTGTTGATTGTAGCTGCTGTCACGGTTGTGCAAATGTGTCTGTAGCATTTTCCACCCTTGTAGCTTCAGAATTATAAAATTCTGTTTCTCCATTGCACAGAGAGGCTCACTGTAAAGATTGTGGGAGGCCTCCATCTTTAATGGATCTGATCAAAGATCGTAGAGCTTATAATTGTTGATCATTCAATTCCTTTATAGCCAAACATCTTTCTAAGTAGAAATTTATCAGCAATTATTGTCAAATATTTGGAATTTCTGTGTTTTAAAAGCAATAAAATTGTAGTTTATCGATAAACTGTGACCTAATGTTGATAGTTCACCACAGCAGTAAACTTTTTATATTACTATAGAATTCATAGTTTTGTGGAATATACAGTGATCTACACATTTATTGGCTCTGCTGATAAAGATTTAGAATATATTTCTTGGCTGTAGCAAAATCTTAAACTAAAGAAATGTATAAAAATTCAGATTTTTTGTCTCCTATTAATTTGGAAGTGAATCCACTGAATCCTTACACATTGAGTTGATCTAAAAAGTTCTAATCTAAATTTGAGTGACTAAGTTTGAGGGGAGAAGAGAACACGACCAAGAAAAGATAAAGTGTGTTTAGCTTCATGGTCCAGAAGGAGACGGCTTCTTGTCCTGTTGGACAAGGGTGCAGTACCACCAGAGGAAAAAAAATAGATGGAGCACATTATCAGATCTGTGCAGGAGACAGTTATTCCTCCAACTCTGCATAACAATCATTAGCACAATCTGAATTCCATAATTTATTTTTTAACAAAAAAAAAAAAATATATATATATATACTTTTTCCAAAAATATTAAATGTAAATATTTGTTTTTTTGTAATGCTGCTTAACTGAGATTGTATGGTTAGAGAAAGACCAAGCCCTTTGCCAGCAATGATTCAAATGATAGTAGCCTTGCATTAACAAAAGGATTAATCTATGAAATGGCCTAACTCACTCAGCATTAAACATTGGGAGAAACCACAATGCTGCTGGCCTGTTTGTCCACCAAAGATGCTGGTTACCTCGTTGTTATATGCTTAGTTTGCTGCAGAGGTTGAACATTCAATCTGAAAAGGACATTATATTCACACTGGGATTCTCTTCTTTTGAATTAGTTAAAGAAGTAGGTTTAGCTGTTTGTTTTCACACTAGTTCTCCATCAATAACTTTTTATTTCCCTTTGTTGTATGCATCCAATTACTAAAAGAATATTTTAAAAATGTGTTATACTGATAAAAGTATAACATACTGTTTATTCAAGCCAGAAACAGAAGTACCAATAAATAGCTCGTACCTACAGCTTTCACCAGGTTTCACATCCACAGCAGCCGTTTTTGCATCTGAACTGGGGTAACTTTATATTTTTGCATACAAGGTTCCCCTGTTCTACCTTCTACTGAAAACACTAAAAATTTGAATTTAAGTGCTAAGAAAAGATAAAATTAGGGAGCATTCATCATGACGTCTTTAATGGAGTATGTCCTTATCAATTTAGTATTTCTTTACCGTGATGCCAATAACTTTACATCTCAATGAAAATAAAAATTCATTGTATTTTCGGTAAAAAATATTTATAACTAGCTCAACTGTCTTGTTGAGGTTATCTAAGGAGGTATATTATCAAGAAACATCAACCTGTAAGGTCATTTATTTTAGATTTTAGGATCCTAAATGTGACTATTTAACCTATCATATAAAGTTACATCAGGCTGAATCTAAGGGATAAATGTACATATTGATTTATCGCAAAACAATAAAGATTACTGTATACAAACATCATCTCAGGGCTGCAGCAGTTTAGTTACACATGTGTTGATAAAAATGTTTTGGACAATTTTCTTGCTCTTGATTGGGAAAAGAAAGTGCTTGTTCCTGTGCTTATATTTGACGTGCTGTAATCAAAGATCAGACCTTAAGAGCGAGACATTTTTATTGGAGACCTAAAGTTCAGAGAGCTTGGAAACTATTTAAAGCATCAAGCAGGATAATGAGTTTTCTGATCTTATTTCTGCAGTCTCACTAAAGACTCTGAACCCATCCTGTATTTCAGCCTCCAGAAATGCTGAAACGGATGGTGCCTTTCAACTCATCCTTCAAATCAAACAACAAACAAGTAATGCACTCACCTGGTTGCCTTTGGTTTTGCCCTGGAGTGCTGTGCTACTTTTTCTTGTTTTACATTATAGCCTCCATGCTCTGGTGTCAGGTTCACTGCTGCCTGACGTAATCCTCAGTGATGGCTTTCCCATATTTTTTTTCTTCCTGTCCTCTCTCTGCATCATTTGCACTCCTGCCTTTTTGATGGGGTGGTTCATGCATGGCCGTGCTTTTATTGATTGGAAGCAGACAGTAGATGTGATGAACATACAGTCTAATATGGGAAAACATGTTATTCTGTTGTGATGTCAGTGTGGAGATTAATTTCGTTTTATTGAGTAAAGAGGGGTTTTACAGCCTGACCTCACCGCTAAAAATGCAAATTGAAAGCATCAATTTGATCTCGGCTCCTACTCATCACCTGTCAGGGCTCTTTGCATTATGATGGGACAGAATGGCTTTTGGTCCATGAGATTTAGATTAGATTTATATATTTTTCCCATGCTGCATAAGGTAATAGTTATTGATGTCAAGAAGTACTGGTCAGGTTTGAAAAGAGAAGTAAAAACATGTCATATATGGGTTTATTTTTATATTATAGAGCAATTGTTCAGGAAGTGGACAATAGCTCGACTAATGTTTCTTTATTCTGTATAGGAAACTGGGCTGAATAAATGTGATTTACTCACCCAGAGGCCTTGGTTCTGTTTCCTTCTTCCTATTGTATTATTTAATTGCTGTGGACTTAAGGAGGATAACTCTGTTGTTTAGTCTGTGATTATGTTGGAAATCATTCTTGTTGCTTAAATGTGCCCAATGCATTTTAACTTGTGAGAATTAGTGTTAAAGGCTATGTTGTATATTTAACTCTAAACTGGTTGTCAAAGGAAATCTGTCCTCTTATAACAACAACGACTCAAACTCACTCTAAGTTCCCTTCATTTGCTACTTTTTTTAAATATTGGGAACGTTTAATTAATGATTACATGTTTTTTTTCCCCAGGGATTTCAGAAATATGTGGATGACTTCGATCCTTACTCCATGGTATTGTATACTTGGGCTTCAGTAAAAAAGATTATCCTTATTTGTTTGTCTGAAATCATACATAAGAATGTTTTCTCATCCATCAAGTAATATATAGTGGCATATTTAAGCCATGTGTGCTTTCTGTCAGTATTCCCAGTGGTAGACTTAAACCATAAAGACTAAGCGGCCACTGAATACAGACTTAATGCTAATTTTCCCCTAACTTAATAAAAGCTACATAAGTTCATTGCATTTTTAGTATTTATGTTACTGTCTAACTATCTCATAATGCAGCATCTAATTTCAAAGGCAGATATAATATATGATTCAAATCTGACTAGAAATGAATGATATTCCTTGATTAATATTATTAGTTCTGCATAGTCTGACCTTATATACCAATAAAATTTAAATCATTTTTACTGCCTTATTTGAGAGAAAGTAAAAAAAAAAAAACATAATTCTTAATCAGTATTATATGATTTTTTTTTACAGTAACCTGTTCAAATAAAATGGCTCATCATGCACTAGGTTAGACTTTGCAGAAAAAGAGGCGACATCAACTCACTTCAGATCATTTCAAGTCACTTTAAAGGAACTAAATAGGGTTGTTTTGTGAAATTATGACCAGCATATATCCTATCTTGTTTAGATAACTAGTATAATTTCTAGTCTGACAAATGTTTTCCACCAATGGTGTATTTAGGAGAGAACAAAGCAAATAGCAAAACAGCGTACAGTAGCTTTTCATGATAGTTCTACTTTATAATCCTTTTTAGGTTTGCATCACATTATTCAGAACAAATTAACTATATGATAAAGCTGGTATCCAATTGTTTACCTGCTTTTTTAAATGAATGACTATGATTTTATTAGATCTGAGTTGTTTGGTTAAAATGAACTCTGGGATTGCCTTTTCTCCACTTTAATAAAATCGTAGGTAAGTAATTCAGATAGACTATTGACTGTTAATGATCTGTCAACAGAACACCACACAATCTGAACTGTAATAAAGAGATATACTATATATGTAGTTAATTCAGAGCGGCAGTGCTCATTTAAAAGTGACCAGTATCTATAGTATCTGTTCTCTTCTTTCTATATTTTGTAAATTACTTTTCCTCCTTTTGTATCCTTCATTTATAGTTCTCCTCAGACCAGATAAATGACAGAGATGTGAGACTGTTGAGAATCAAAAAGGTAATTTTTGATAGCTAAAAGAAATCTGCCTAACATATTTTCTGAAAGATGATTGATCATTTCTTCATATTTTTTTTCAGGTAGGGCAACTTGACTTGGCTCTGGAGGGAGGAGCAGACTCTCCTCTTGGAAAATTGGTGATATCATCTGTTTATGACGGCGGTGCAGCTGATAAGCACGGTCAGTTTAGTTCTTTTTTTCATGTTTTAAATTTTCTTCTTATGTTGTGCATAAAAATATCTTTTGGAGTGGTTAAAAATCACTGTTTTAAGCAAATATTTGCACTTATTTACTGAAACCATACTTACTAAACCATACTTATACTTTCTATATGTTCCTTTTTAAAACTTAATTCAGAAACATTTTAATTGCTATTTATTCTTGTGCTTGATATTACCCAACTGTAAATTACAAACTTCACAACTTGGTAGTATATCATCTTAGTATATTATACTGCTGAATTCATGTTGGCGTTTCGAATTTACGCTGGAAAAAATCACAAAGTTTTAGATCTTATTTATTCTTTGTAACAATTGGTTCCTATAGTGACCAAAACAAGCATTTCTGATAAATCTATGGTAATGTGTAATATTATAGCCTCAGTGCTAATTAGTTTTGCATCTCTGCTGTTTCTTGATATGTTTGTTTACAGGAGGGATTGTTCCAGGAGATGAACTTATGGCTGTGAATGGGAAGATCCTGATCGATGCTACTTTGGATGAGGGACAAAACTCTCTGGCTCGGGCTTGGAATAGTGGAGGGGTATGAGTGGAAGGAGAAAACTAGCTCTGGATTTTAATGATATGCACATTACAGGGTGTACATTTTAATTGATCATGTTTTGTGCATTCAGCTGGAGTTCAAACTTTCTATTGATTTAGTCACGCAGAGATTTAAAATCATTTCAACCCCCCAGGACTGGATCGATGTTGTGATTGCTGTGTCCCCGCCAAAGGATTATGAAGATGAAGTGTAAGCTTTCTTCTCTCATACATTCAAAATTTTTTGCCACGTTTTATGTAGAAGCACTTTGGATGTTGTGAAATATTGAGAGGGGGTTCGGTAGTTGACAGACGGTGGCTCGTGTTTCTGTGTGTGCATGTGTATGCAGCCCTAATTCAGCATCAGTCAGTCCCACTGTGAAGAGAAAGGTGTTTGAAGGCAGTGCAACACTTTACAGACATGGTTATCAGCTTCAGCACTAGCCTCACCTCATCTCTCCTCCTACCTCACCTTGTTCTGGTAATCAACTTAGCCTTCAGCCCTCATCTTCTTCGCTGCACGTTAGAGGGGAGGTTTGATGTTGCGGTTGGTTTTGTTTGGGGCTCATTTGTTTCTGCTATTGAGGACATGTGACAGTCTCTCTGACAATTTAAATAAATAACACCCTGCACCCTGTCAGGTCTTCTTTTTTCAGCTCGGTTTGTTCCGTGTAAAAAAGAAAAGAAAAATCAAAAAGAGTATTTAAGTGACACCCCTGCCTTCTAAAGACATTAAAATGATAAATGACCAATCCATGCATGCATGTATGAGCTCAATGCAGCCTCAGTCAGCCATAAATAAACACACGGCATCAGCGCCGTGTTCTCAGGTCAACCCCAGGCTCGTGCCCGCCTTCAGCAGTTGTTCTGATTGATGTTGTTTCACGGGACTGTTACATGTTCTGAAATGTATACCCTCCTTTAGGTCAGATTTCTTTTATGAGGACTTACTGCTTTGGTTGAAGATTGCATCTATTCATCATATTTATTTGCCACTTTTGGTGATTTATTTGAACATCTGTTTTACGAGACAGAAATTTGGACATTATGTAGAAGTTAATTTATTTGTAAAAACAAGCAGGTTTGAATATATTGAGCTTTTTTTAAGTTTACACCAGATCACTATCATACATGTTGGAATAAACAACAGCTGTCACTTGAATAATTTTCTATGACCTCAAACCATCAATAAACTTCTGCTGGGATTGAAAAAACAAACAACTAAATTTAATTTTGAAATGGTTGGATTATTTCCTCAGCTCTTGGGAATTATATATTATAAAAAACAGTGTCAGATTTGGGACATTTTCAGATACTTAATGTTAGGATTTTTTTTATTCTTTTCCAAATCCGACTTGATGGACGTTTTGGATCCAAATTCTTTTCAATATTTGAAGCTGATGTTTTAGGCCTAATATGTCATATATTTGGTGCAATGTACCAGTGCCACAGCTAGTGTAACAATCCCTCAGCATGACGGGACCACTACCATGCTAGACATCAATACATTTTCAAATACCTGTTTTTGCAGAAATTAATTGGTGTCCTATTCTGTGTAATAATTCCAATGTGGCTCAAATAAATAACTGAAAACCCTAAATGACTAAGGCACCCAGGATGTTGACATATAGATGTCAGACAACACCTGCATGCAGTGTTATGAGAGATGCACCAATTGCAGTTTCCTGAGCATATTCTAGTTTTGAACTAAGAACTCCTGTTTTTCTCATTCACACCCTTTCCAGGAATTCTATTAAGCACCATTAAAAACTTACATATGTTTAGATTTAGAAAAATACATATATTTTGAAGAGACTTTAGCTCTAGAAGCTTAATTTTCATGATTTATCTGTCAGATGAGATATTCCTTATCCTTAATAAACTGAAATAAAAAAAATCACCTGTTAAGAATTTTTGTTAACAGGTTGTAAATCTTTCGAATAAATTGCAGCAGGAACTTGTATAAATGTATTCAGGAAAACTTTGTCAATCCACTGTAAAGTTATCAAGGCCTTAATATATTACCGTCTGTTTGCTGCCTAAGTAACAGCTGGTATCTCAATGAGTGCTTTCAGTTTTCAGTGAGCTCTGAATTTAACTGTAAAAATGAGCTAATGTGAAGTTTTACCTTTATCATCCTATTTTACTCTTTTGGGCTTCTTGTGACTTGATTTTTGAAGTCTTTACAGAGATTACAGGTATAATTGACTCTTTATACAGTTAAATCTTCCACATGTGGAATGGGCTCTACAGAACCACTTAGATGTGAGTGATTCAGGGTTTCTGGGGATGAAATGATTATTTTGAGGGTCATAGCAGTTAAGCTGAAAACTGCCCTTTAGATTTCCAACTGAACAATTGGTGCATCTCTGGATGTGTTTTCACATTAAGCTACTTTGAAATGAGTGACTACCATGAGTCTACTGTAACTGTCTTCTATAACTCACTCACTTTTTTGTGTAGCTGTTTGTTGTGTTGTTGTGGAGTGGCTTGGATGGGAAATATAACAGAAACATGTATCTTCTGCTTATCTTTATTCTCATTTAGATAACAAGAGAACTTCATTTTTTTTTTTCATTGTTTCAATGTTTTTATTAGTTTCATTCTTTTCTGCCGCAGGACGTTCTTCTGATGTCGTCATCCACCTGCCATGAAAACCCGATGTAATAAGAGGAAGCTTCTCCTCCATCCACATCTGAATGGGAAGATTGAGAGCCTATTTGTGCTTTTGCTGCTTTGTCGCCCTTCAAGGCTGATCCAGTTGTCTTTTAGACTGACGTTGTACTTCCAATAGTAATTTTCTCTGTCTTGTTTTGTCAATGGATTGTCCAATCAGTAATCGTTTTTTTTCCTGCTTAGCTCTTTCCTTCTGCAAAGACTGGAAATAATTGACCTCATTTACAAAGTGATGAGCATGCTGATGTTCTGCTAACATCTGTCAGTATACGAATGAAGGATGAGTTCGATTAATTAAACTGTAATCGATACCGGATTCAGAATTTCCTTCTCCTTGGCCTAATAAAGGACTTGTCAGATGAAGAATTGGGTTCTGTTTGAATACTGATTTTGTTTTCTGATTTAAAACACAGTTTAAAGGTTAATCATACACGTACTTAATGAAGGGCAGTTAATGTAACTTTTCTAACTTAAAATGCATCTATTTGTATCTGTATTTGTCTGCAAATTATGGACTTTCTCTATATTACCCACTTTTATATCTAAATCTACAACAACCTTGGGAAGAACCCTTGGTTCTAAATTAGTATCTGTTTTACAATTAGTGAAAATTAAATTACACAATCTTTTAAGTCCAGGTTTTAATGTACCAACATTTAGAAAACATATATCTGGTCATCTGGTTAAGCTCCGACATCTCCACCTAATCTCATATGTACACCAAACAAGAAATTCTGTAGCATAAGCATTGTAAAGTCAAACTTTAAAGCTTTTTCTCAGCAGCATAAGACTGTAGATCTCTACAGTCTCAGTTTTCTGAATCAGTCTTTTTTTTTTCACAATACGAACAACAATATATGAGCCACTTCTTGATACATTGCAGAATGTAGATTGAACAGAATTAGTGATTTGAGTTGCTGGTAACAAATCTACTTTTTACAAAGGGGACATTTCTGAGATGCAACTGTTTATTAACATAAATGGTTCATGCACTTTTAATACTCTATAAATCACTGTCTGATACATAAAGTGCTGAAAAAAACATGTATTACCCGTTATAGATTTCCTTTCTTTGTTTTTTATTTTGTCTTATCAAACAAATCCTAGTATTTGATAAATATCATCCGAGTGCAGAGGTGGGTAGTAACTATTTACATTTACTCATTTATGTTTACTTTAGTAACTTTTGAAAGAAAAAAAAAAGAAAAAACACTTTTAGGAGTAGATTTACAGGTTTTTATTTTTGCTTGAGTAAACACATGATAAAATATTACTAGTCTTTTTTGTGTAAAATGTCTGTACTACATCCTTTGTGAGTAATTCACTTGATGAAAAACTTTTTAACGAAATAATATACGAATATACTCATTTGGAGGTTGAGTGATAATACAGTAAAGAGTATACTCTAATTTAACATATTCTACAAACTAACTAATGGAAACTACAGATTTTTTTTCAACATTTTATAACTGATTTTTTTTTTTTTATCAGTTGTTATACATCAGTTAGTAGTCAGGAGATCACTTACTCATAGCTTGGGTAGCTTTCTTACCAAATACTTTTTCTCTCATACTTAAAGGCTACCTTTTATTTGATTGAAACTATGAAATAAAGTAGTGCTACTTTACTTATGTACAGATTTTGGGGTATTACACCCATCTCTGCCCTTGCAAAGCCTTAGTTGACCAAACCAAACTGATCTTGTGTGAAAAAGTAATTGTCACCTGAACCCAATATCTGCACATGCCCCTGTTGGCAATAACAAAGGCTATTGTCTAAACAATATCAGACAATAATGTTTTAAAGCACGTCCTGTACATTGTTGGGAATTATTTTTTGCTCAATCTTTTGCAGCTGGTTTAGCTGAGCCATGATGGGGCTTTTGTGCATCACATGCCTAATCAAGTTAATAACACAGCATCTTTATTTGATTTAGGTACAGGTATTGACTAGGATAATTCAAACATTTTCTTTGGTTCGTGTTATTGAGAATTTGAGTTAATGTTGTCCTACGGACCTGGCCTACATCATAATCAGCCGGTTCACAAATAGATGGACAGGCACTGTTCTTAGTGTAGATTCATTTGTCCATCAAATTAACCATGCCTTGACTCCTGCACCAGACCATCTCAGTAAAATCATGCATACCATCAGCATGATCCCGTTTCTTTAAAATATATATATTTTGTGTCAAATTTTGTGTTTCAAAATTTTGTCCTCCAAAAACTTTGAGATCATCAAGATACTTTTTTATTGATTTATTTGTTTGGTCTGTAATGGTTTTCCTGTATGGAAGACAGAGAATAATAAAGTACAGACATTTGGAGCAGCAATGCTTCTGTTGCTAAGGGGCTTTTGAGATAATTTGGCGAGACCAAAATAAACTGATCTTAAATGTTGATAATCTAATACTTGCATAACAGAAAGGCAGTAATAAAGCATTTTTAATTGACATGTTGTCGTCTATCTTGTGACGTAAATTCCTTATTTCCATTCTCATATTGATTTATTTCAACCACGTAAACCATATTTACATGTATGTGTCTATAGGGGGCAATATTGGTCATTTTTTAATGTTGACAGGTCATAACTCAAATATTTTAAATTTTGATCTAACTTGATATCAATAAAGATACAAGGTTAAGCAAAATATACTATGGTTGATGCATCGGAGGCAAATAAAGAAAAAGGGGGAGAGTGGATGCAATAAGTAACAGTACATGTTTGATGCATTTTTTTGTTTTTGAACAGACTCTCTTCAGTCTTATATAACCGCTTTTTGCAGGCATCTTCTTTGTAGCTTTGTGTTTGCGAGCTTGGCTTTGTGACCCCACACTACGGTTCATGACAGATTCCAAAGGTGGCCTTGCAGGCAGGGTCTGCCTCCCTCCTCCTCCCTCCTCCTGCAGCCCCGGGTTCAGCACCGTGGACAGCTCCCAGCCTCCTCCAGCAAACCGCCGCCCGCGGTCGGGCGCTCAGACGCAGGCAGGACAGCGAGGAGCTCGACGGCGCTCTGACCACATGAACAACTGCAGTTTGGGATATTTTGTGTATTTCTCGTCTGACCGACGGACGTGACAACATTGAAGACTGTTGCTGAAGTCAGAAGCTGCAACAATGATCTCACGATACAAACCGGTAAGTGCTGGTATCACCTGGGCACTCAGATACAGACTTCCTTTGTTTGAACCAAAGTGTTTAATCCGCCTTGTCCATCAACTGTCTACAGCAAAAGATTATTTGATATGCAGGTTATTAACTCGGAAAACAGGCACAGAGGGGCACAGAGCTTCTCATTTAACTGGGTCGCCTACATAAATTTAAACAGCTCCAGTCCTTTTCAATAACGTTGCAAATCATTTCAACTCATATCTAATCCAGCGATACAGAAACGGGGTTATAGATCACCAGGGTTCTGGTCTCAATATAAATTATGGGAAGTGTGTGCAGGCTTATTGCATTATTTATTTGTTGTATTGTAGTGGACAGTGAGCATTCTGAAACACGTAACCCCGCCTTCCTCTTCCTAGCAGCTGCGTAAATTCACATGCCTTTAAAAAAAAATGGTTTACTGTTATCTTCAGCCCATTTAACGTTGTTTTCTCTAGTACATGTACTCAATTACCAAGCTGCCCAGATTTTTATATTGTGGAGTTTACATTCACAAATCTCATGTCAAAATTCTGGCAGTAGGCCACTGTTCAGAATTGAATATTGTGAATTTTAAGACTGTCTTTTGAAAAATCTGTAGGTAATCTGAGTCTGTCACATAAAATAGTGTCCCTACTTCCTATGATTGTTATTGGAGGAGCTGCTATTGGTCGTTCTCATTGTGCATGTCTGCAATCCCACTGGTGCTTTAACTCACTCAAGGTCCTATAAGCTGATCTTTAACCCCCTCAGAAATGTTAATTTGATCAGTGCTGGGTCGGTAAGGATGCAGATATTGGTCCTTTTCTATGTTTTTAGACAATTCGTTTGAAAACATGATCTGTTATTTAATTTAGCAAGATGAATACAGACCAAAGTTAAACATGACTTATCTTGGGGTGGTTTGTTTAAATATAATATGTTATTTTATGCTAATGAAGAGAATAAGATTAGGAAATACATTTGCATTATTTTGATATTTGCTTTATGTAAATAAGCACATATTAAAACATCACATTTGAACAAAAAGAAAGGAAACTGGACATAGAAAAACGTATTATTACAAACATAACTGCAACTACCTGTATATAGACACTTCCCCCAAGAAGTAAAATTCACTCATAAGCTTCTGAATTTATTGCTGTTTGTGTTTTTTTTTAAAGATTGTTGAGTTTAGCTCCATTTTTAGAGGACTGTTTTTTTTTTTTCTTAAAGCCACCTAACTGTGACCTATAGATCATCTAGGCATTAAAATCTCCCTAAACTCAGGGGAGGATCTAGTGTTGTGAGAATTATAACCGAGATCTTTAGGGGCTTAACTGCCTCCAGCCTCTCACAAACATGGCATTGATTAGAATAAAGAATTTATTCTAATCAATGCCATTACTTTAAACTCTGACACTTCATTGTTCTTCACACATCTACTTTTACTGGCATATTGCTCAGTTTGCTCTCATCAGGAACAGGCAGGCATCTAACAATAGTAAAAGAACACACAAAGATTAAAATTCTTTAAAACATATCTTAGGTCCTTTGAACAGGACAATTTGAATGATTTTTCGACATCTTATTTCCTTGCAAGAAAAAAGTAAATAATTTACAGGGAGTTTCTAAGTGAATTACATGGATTGTGAAGTATTAAAATTGTAAGCATGGAAATGTAAACAATATGCTAACCCGGCATGCCCAAGTATAAGTAAGGTCAAGTTATAAGATTTTTTTTCTAAACTTCTTTGGTGTTTATTTACTCTAGGCTTTCTTTCAGGTGTTACTATGTTATCCTGTTAAAGGAAATCAATAAGGTGTGCAGGGTGTGAGACCACAGGGCTCCAGTTAATGTGAATGTGTGTTAAAATGGAAGACCCAGTGGATTTTCTTTCCTTTCTGCTGTGCCTGGTGCCCATCTGTAGCAGCTCACCCTCAATCAGTATTCAGAAGAACTGCTTTCTCTGCAACATCCTGAAGTAATTTGAAATCTTGGAGTAACACTGTCTGTGGTAAAATGTTTATTTCTAAGCTTAACATTTCTAATTGGATGTTTCAAAATAATCCTAAAGCACCAGGAAATCCATCTTAAGAATCTATGTGTCAAATTAAAAATCCTATTTGCTCAAACATCTTGGTCTGCATACAGGGCTTTGTAAAGCTATTCACACCAGTTTGCTTTTTATATTTTGCCGTGTTATGATCACAAACGTGATTATGAATGGGAAGAA